GCCTTAAGTCATTTCCACGCTTTAAGCATTGCCGCTCGAGGGCGGAATTTTAACCGATCTATTTTTGCGGAAATTCTACAAAGTCGCATTATGTTTGGAATAGATTGACTCCAATGCCTAAATAAATCAAAAATAACAGAAACAAAAGAATTACTAGAGAACCATTGGTTTGTAATTGAGTCAAAACAAAAATTCCTCTTCTGGCTTGTCGGGTCATATCTCAGATCGGCCTGGAAAATATCTACGGAGGAATGAGGCTTTGTGAAATTTCCTCCAACTTCTCCACTAAAGGAATTAAACCATAAAAAAATCTATAATATCTTTTGACTGAAACATCTGCCGATCAAATGATCATATTGCAATTTGACTCCTTGGATATCTTTACTTCGGAATAATTATATATTATGAGGCCTAATGCTTTCCAATAATAGGAGTACCGAGAAAATAGAAAACTTGCCAGAACGTTAAAACTCACATTTTTGCCGAACCTTCTAAGTTTGGGCGCGGCTCCAGACTGAATCGTTCGACCTGGGACCCTGAAATTTCACAAAACATGAGCTCCATAGCTACTCTCAAGGGAAGAAAATTGAGCCTGATCTGAGACATAACCCATCAAACCAGGTCGTGGAATTATAGTTTTGACCCAATTATAGGTGCGCCATCGTGAAGCGGCACCTTGGAATTAACTCATGAATAAATGTGAATAGTTTGGACATTTCAATATTGTAACTTGTCCTTTTTCTTTATACTCGAACCACTACGAAGGCTTAAGGCCTAAACACCCATATGTACCGAGGGGCTATAGGGGGATACAGCGAAACACGGGAGAACACACGGACTCTAGCAAGGGAACACGTGTACATTCAACACATTCTGAGCCCGCCTTAGAGATCCGCCGGGTGGTACCTCCGCGTTCCACAGTAAAAAAAATTCGCTTGGGGCGGGGATCGAGCACAGGAGACCCATAACCTCTACTACTACGCCACCACTGTTGCCTGTTGTTTCCTATTTGAATAACTTGGCACTAGACATTGTTAAGTGTGTTATCCAAGAGGCTGCATCCAAATTCTAATAATCTTGGCATTGTTAACTGCCAATTTTATACTAAAGTATAGTTCACAAATTTCATCATCCCGAATTTCAGGTTGGTAACTTTACGCGTTCAAAAAATAAGTAGGGGGATATTACATCTCAAATATTTTGCAAAAGGAATGGAAACAAATATCTTTGTCGAGAAAAATGAGACAGATGTTCCAGTACTGCAGATAATATGTTTCATTTGTCTTCTGTCAGGGTGCAAATTTAAATTCCACTGGTATAGTTAAAGCCGTAGTTTTTTTATATTATGTTGCGTAGTTGTTTTTAGTATCTTACATATAAACATTCAATTCGATACCTTTATTTACTTCAGAGATACATTTTTTCGATTTTAAAATATACCCTGTATCACGTTTCAAGAACCATGTTCACATGAACTTTTCATGCTATTTTTGCTCCTTCATTCAGACCTCGGAATATTGTGACTACTTTTTAGCTCACCATGTACATATATGTGTATATTCAGTAACTAAGCGTTGGAAGTACATAGTATTATTTATATTATTTTGAAATCCTTGGTTTTCAGTTCTTTCAAGTTATGGTGATATTATACTGCGAAGATGTGAACAAAGAGTCTAGAAACACGTTGAAGATTTGTTACAACTTACAAGAAAGTGTTCAAATGAATTCTGAAGAAAAGAAGGAACTGGCAATTTTATGCGACGTAGTGGGATTACTGAAAACAAGAACTACAGCGTCCGGGTTCTATACCATAAATAAGAATGTTATAAGCAGAGTATTTGCATACATATTTTCGTACTCAATTGTTTTGATTCAGTTCAGTAGGCAGTCTCTCACAGATCAGTCTGCATCATCTAATGAGACAAACTTGTAATAATTTCAAAGTTGTATATATGTAATATCTTTTGTTAATGAATGTAGAATAAAACTTCAATTGTGAATTGAAAAAAACATGAAGTCGATGCTATCCTGTATTTTTAGTCAATATTCAAAGAGTTTTGGGTTAAATTTATATGAAAAAACAAATAGACAGAGTGATTCAAAACACCATGCCAAAGTATGGTGAAGCCTATACCCATGTCCAAGTCATAGTGACATCGAAATTTGATGATAACTCGTAACTGACGTGATTGTTTCAAACATCCACGTCGTAATAACATCTACTAAATGTCCAATTATGTACGTGTACTGTAAAACGTTGTTATGACGTGTTTCAGAGTTTTTTTGAATTATATAGATTATATATGTATATATATATATAACAAATAGAATAAATATAAATATTTTTCTATTTGTTATATACCTTTAACCGCATGATCCTGCTCTTTTATTTTTGTACTTATATAATATGTATATTTTTGCGGATTTTGCCCATTATTTTCCTACTTTTTGTTGTATACCTTTCTCCGCATGATCATTTTTATATATATTTTCATATGTGCAATGTTTTTGCTAACTTAGAATCAATCTTTCCTATTCAAAATGCATCAAGTCAACGGACAGAGAAATCATTATTTCACTCTATCCCTGATCGACGTTCACTCAAAGCAACTTAAAGTTATCTGGAACTACAAATTATTAAGTTACCCTATAATGTTCCCTTTCCTTTTTATATTTGTAGCGTTCCGATATATAATATTCAATGATTTTTAAGAATAAGGGGGAGTGCAAAATGAATAAAAATCATCTTATTGGATACAATACTTTTAGATAGGATATACAAAACAAAAAATACATATCACATTTTAGCTATTCGATATGTTATATATCATGGAAAATGTCTCTACGTTTAATCTGACAACTTGTATCGAGTGACAACTAACGGTGAATGACAATCGCGATTCTACTACTACTCGTCGTTGCTTCTCAAGGCGGTACGGAGGACCTTAGCCTTTAGGTCATAGTCACTGTAATGTCACTGTCTGTCGTCAGTTTGTCAGGTCTGGTGGCCTAGAAACTAGACAAGTTGTAGGGGAAAGGGAAGAGGGAGAAAGAAAGGAAGGAAGTAGGAGTGAGAAGAGAGCGAAAAGGAATTATTTTATGTAAATATTTGAGGTGTGATAGACCTAAGAACTGTTACATTGTACTATATAAATTTTCGGCTTGTCCTGAACTGAATTTTGGATCTTTGGTTTTTAAAAACTATAATTTTTAAAGGTCTAAACATGAATTTAATTTTGTTCAGTGCGACTCGCGGCCTGGAATGTTTGCGTATCTCCTCGACTGTGTAATCCACTGCTTCACGCAACAAAGGGTTGCTGTGCGATTCCGCTTGCTGGTAGCGCCGTTGTGCCATACCTATGATGTACGAGTGATCCCTGAGGTAGGGGATGTCAAGATCTCTATGGATGGTATCGTTTGATACATACCATGGGGCATTAGTTATTGTTCTGAGAGTTATACTCTGCAGAACTTGTACTTTACGCATATGCGACTTGGCTAAAAAGCACCAAGCCGCACATGCGTAGGTTATTGCAGGTCTGATGATGGTTTTGTATATTCGAATCTTATTGACCAAACACAATTTTCATGTTCTACATAAAAGCGGATACAATTGCCGAAATTTAATTTGGAATTTAATTTTTAGTTGTTCAATGTGTGACTGCCAATTCATACCCTTGTCGAGTGTAAGTATTTGGCTTTGTTAGCCCATGGTATCGAAACATCATCCACATTAATCTCTGACGGGGCAGCATGGCGCTTTTTTGTAAAATAGATACCTTTTGTCTTTGAAAAATTAATTTTGATTAGCATACTCTAAAACCTCGTCCACCGCTTCTTGCAGCCTATCATGGACTATGTCACTAGAATATAACTGGGCTACTAATGCGGTGTCGTCGGCATAGAGGTAGACTTCACAGTCGCAGGGATGGGGGACGTCGTGAATGAAAAAAATCGAGTATAAGAGTGGTCCTGTTAATTTTGATTCTGAATTTCCTTTCTTCTAGGAAGGTATTGAGTAGTTTTAATAGCCAAAAATGGAAACCGTTTTGAATAAGTTTATAGAGGAGGCCTGCGTGACACACTTTGTCAAAGGCTTTTGCGACATCCAGAAAAAGGATATCCGTGCTGAATATGCTGGTTATACGCTCCACCAGCCTGACTGCCTGTAGCTCGGACCGAAAACCGAATTGAACGTCAGGAATCACTTGGAGACCTGACGAAAAATTCTCAAGGTGACCATAAATCACCTTTTCGGCGAGCTTAGGAGCGGACGGCAGGCTTTCGTCAACTACGTATATAATCGGGATATTAGGAGGCCAAGAGCGATTTGTACAGTTCTCAATCGACGCGTCTACTAGTGCAGGCTTTCCTGTCCAAGGTATCCTCAGTACCCATCTCAAGAATAAAGGGAAAACCTAACGAAATCTAACAGCTCGTTCAGACGACTCGGTCACGATCATTTAATCGAACCGGTAAAAGTATCGAATCTCGCAGTGGCGCAATATTTTAAATCTGCATATTCACACGATGCGGTCGTACCCCATATACGGGAAAACTGCCGATTCGTTCGGACTTGCATTCGGTTCGCGCCACTGGCAACCGTATGGTCGCATGCGGTTGTGTTCGGGAAAAAAACCGAATCGGCCTTCAGTGGCACGTACAATGTATATTGGCCATTTCACCTCCAGTCGCGATTCGATTATCTTGCCGAACGGCACTTGTTTTCGGCTTTAAATAGTTTGCTCATATTTATGGTATATACCTACATATATACAATGGAGAAAATAAATACGGAGCTGTTGATAAGTTTAGTGGAAGCGAGACCCGCTTTATGGGATAAAACACTTGACACATATAAAGACAAAAATTTAAAGTCGTCAGCATGGAGAGAGATATGTTCTCTGTTAAAGGAGAATTTCGAAGATATGGAACAAAAGGAGAGGCAGGCTTTTGGTAAGTATTTTATTGTTTATTTTGACATACATAAATTTACTAACCGATGGCTTCATCTTGCCAAGAAACAGAACCAGCTTCTGTTAGAAAATAGTCAGCAAAAGTTGTTCTTATGGAATTGGCAGATAGTCCTCCTCGTATATTTTGTGCTTTTGGTAAGTTGTCAAGGTGGATTTCTGGCAAATGAGCGTTTTCAAAATTAAACCCGTCTTTTTCTCGGACAAAATTATGTAACACAGTACACGCTTTTACTATCCATATTGCTGTTTCTAGTTTAACATCTAGAGGACGATGAAATATCCTCCATCTATTAGCTAAGATGCCAAATGCACATTCAACATATCTTCTAGCGCGAGTAAGTCGGTAATTAAATATTCGCTTTTTCTTGTCTAAATGTGTACCGCCAAAAGGCCTTAATAAATTGTCATGCAATCCGAAACCTTCATCGCCAATAAACACAAAGGGTACATTTATTTGTGTCTGTTCTAAAGGTCTGGGTGTTGGTATGTTTAAAGCGCCCTGTGTCAACTTTTTCCACAATGTAGATTCTTTCCAGATTGACGAATCACAATCTTTTCCATAGGACCCTATATTCACGTATATAAAACGATATTCTGAATCTACGACTGCTAATAAAACAATAGAGAAGTAATCTTTGTAGTTGAAGTACATAGAGCCAGTGTTATCGGGTTTTCTCAGTCTTATATGTTTCCCGTCTACCGCACCGAGGCAATGCGGGAAATTCGTTTTCATCCAGAATCCATTCGCTATTTCCTCCCATTTATCTGGCGTATCAGGGCATGCCATAAATTTAGTACCCATATTATTCCATATACTCCGAGTAACTTCTCTCACAATATTGCTAATTGTTGAGACACCAACTCGGTAGGAGTAATGCAGATCTTTATACGAACACCCAGATGCTAGATACCTGAAAGGAAGGAACGTTTTATTTTATTTGTTCCAGGTAAGCTGATTTTAAAAAAGTGGACATACATTCGAGACCCGTGGATGAAAGCATTGAAAAAACATAAAGACCAAAAAACAAGTGGCACATCGACCAAACCTTCAAGACTTTATATATATAATGAGCAGATGTCATTCCTGAAAAAAATTACAGATTCAACTGTTTGTCATGAAAACACTAATAATGAAAATAACACCGAGATAGAAGACTTGGATGCAGAAGTTATTGAAGAGAGTGTTCCACCTGAACAACCGAATATGGAAGCAAATCAGTCTGGTAGTACTCCCATCAGTACTTCTACTGCACGCAGAAAGAGGAGTATTAATGAAGTTGATGCCAAAATGATGCGATTCATAGACCATCAAATCAACTTATCCAAGGTTTCAACAGTCAAAGAGGATGAAAATCGTCATCTTACATTCTTCAAAAGTCTTCTTCCATCATTATCATCGTTTGATGAAGATGAAACTTTGGAATTTCAGTCGAGTGTGTTAAGTTTATTGCAAAATATGAGAGCAAAGAAGCGAAGGTTGGCCGATAATATTCAAATGCCATCGCGTACAATTGCCACTTATTACAATAATTGGCAAAATCATGATTATTACAGTCAGCCACAGCCACAAACAATTTCAAGAGTAACAACACCAATGACTAGTCCATATACTGCCGAACCGTCACCCTCTACACAGTCTGTTGCAAGCCAAGATTCTATTTTAGATCTAGATATTTCCAATTTTTGATTTGTTTATTTGTATATAAAATAAAGTTTTTAAAAAATGACACCTACCTTAAGCATATCACCAATTTTTCCTCAGCACTGATACATGTTCTCATATTTGTGTCTTCTCGAGTTAAGTCTTTTTTCACTCTATTAAGTAGGTCATCAAACGTAGAGGAAGACATCCGAAAATAATTGAAAAATTTAATTTCATCTCTTCTTAATTGACACATAAGTGTCCGGAAGGACCCCAAATTAAATCTTTCTCTAATAATAGGGTGTTCCCAATATCTCCTTATTACTCGTTTTTTACAGAGTCTACGATACCAATACATTAAAACCAACATATTTGCATTCATTGTGCCAAACTCAATCAACAACTGACAAGAAGCGTATCCGCGCAAAAATATTATACCGCATCGTGTGAACACTGGACCCGATTCGGTTAAAATGTCGTTTCGGTTAAATTCCCGTGCCGTACCGTATCGTGTGAACGAGTTGTTATCAGTGTTGTTGTGTTCGCCTGCGGTTATGATGATAGTAAGGTGTAGTATACAGGGGGAGTCAAAAATGTTTTATACAGGAGTGAAAAGGTTGGCAGGTAGCTGGAGCGTAAAAAAGATTGTGCGTGCGAGAGAGAGAGAGAGAGAGAGAGCGGCGGACGATGTATTGGAGAGAGATAGAGATAGGACGACGTCATGCGCCATTCATGAGTTGGGGATCTCCCCGTTAGAAGGCGCTGCACAAATGGAATCTGTAAAACATCATGTGTCATTGATGAGTTGAGGATCCCACCGCAAGATGGCGCCCCACCTGTCATCTGTCAAATGTCATGTGTCATTGATGAGTTGGGTCTCTTACCGCTAGATGGCGCTACACAAACGGAATCTGTAAGTGTAATTGATGAGTTAAGGATCCTACCGCTAGGTGGCGCTACACAAACGGAATCTGTAAAACAACATGATGAGTTGAGGATCTCGCCGCTAGATGGCGCCACACACGCACGTTATGTGTCAGTTTGTCGCACCTGGATGGCGCTGATCATGTGTCGTAGAGTGATCCACATACAGGGGGTGTGTGAGTTGTGCCTCTCTGCGCTAGATGACGCCGATGTCGCACCTGGGATGGTGCGCTGGTATCGTAGAGTGGTTCACATACAGGGGGGGGGGGTCGATAGAAATTTCTCGGGGCCCACCGATGGACCGACGGGCCGATGGGCCGACGGTATATCGTTAGATCGAGACAAGCCCCATTCACGCAGCAAGTGTGTGGGGGTCGCTCATGGCGGTGCGTGCGTGCGTGCACGTAAATGACGTATGTCGTGCACGTGACATAAATGACGTATGCCACACATGTGACGTAGGTCACATGGTTTCACACACGTGACATAAATGACGTAAGTCACGCACGTGACATAAATGATGTATGACGCCGCATCACATAAATGAGAGATGGTGAATGAATAAAAGAAAAAACAGAGTTATAAATTATTTATTTAATACAAGATTTCATACATGTATCATAATCTAATTTATGCGTCTTGTATGGACCATCGATGACGTCACTACCGTTGTCGTTTGAAGGAGTATGGACATCCTAGCAGGGCTCTAGTAGCTCATCTAATAATGCTGATGGAATATTTATACCCATAGTTGCACACGCATGTTTAATAAATATTCGTTTGAAATGGCAATCGTCAATATACTTAGTTGCATAACGAAGATCATCCAGCTGTATACGAAGAACAAATGACATTTCTTCTACTTTGCAGGTATAAACAAACTTGAAGTTTGACGGTCCGCAACGATACACAAACAGCTATGTAATAAACCATATATGTCGGTAGTTTGTCTGCATATTCTTTAGGTACTACATACGTCTCATATGGTGGGGGTGGAAAATATTTCCACATAGGATCTCTGTAGTTGTGATCCCTAAATACGAATCGTAATTTATATTCAGTAACATTTTCTGGCACTGTAACTTCAAATGCCTCAACATCATTGTTAAGCATAGTAGCAGTCACGTGCTGCCATCTTGAAGGCCAACTTTCGTTTTTGGTGTTATTTTCATTGAACGTAAAAAACACCGTTCAGCAAAGCACATAGTACAATATAATTAGGTGTTAATGTAATCATGATTAACGATTAACTAACACTTAGGAATGTACTCATCCATTTTATAAAAAAACCCTAATATAAGTCTAATAAATTTTTTATTGATATATGTAATTACAATATATTTGTTAAATGTATTCTTCGTGATGACTTACAATTCAAACGTTGAAATCTTGCACAATTGTGAAACACATTTTGCCTCCATTTAGCCTCGTAGTCGTCACCATCGTCGTGAATGGATAGTCGTTGTAGTTTTTCAAGTGCATGCTTTGTATCTTCATATTGATGAATTTGCTGTTTAATCACTTGAATATTTTTAATGTGGTGTTTCAGAAGCTCTTGCTGTTGCTGCTGCATGTTTGAATCTATGAGTGAATTACACGTTTATATACCCATTCTTTGATTTTAAGACAGTCATTCAGAACACATATACCATATACACCATTATGATTTAAACAGAGTGGTATACATTTCTCAATTTTCTCACATTTTGTGGTGAAACGTGAATCACAATCTTCAACATTGATGATATGGGGCTTAATAATTTGCATATCATTTAATCTATCAATTAAAAATTGACGTTTGCACTGTCCTTTCACGTATACCATATCCACATCAGCTAAATGACTCCTGAGGATATCATCAAGTAAACTATAATCTACGTAGCCCTTCTCATATCTTAGCCCATGGTACCGTTCAGTATACTGTATCGTAACTTTATCTTTAGAGGTTAATGAACTATATTTATTGATAGACCTGAATAATAAATAATTGCTTTGACTTCCAACCAGTATCGACATTTCTTTAACCACAAACCCATAATTCTGAAGATAAAATCCTTGCAGATCAACAAAGCACATTGTAGCCATTGTGTGTGTGTTGCCTATTCAATAAACTACAAGTAAATGATTGACAAAAATAAAAACGGATGATTTTACATATATTATTTAATTATTTCGGAGAGGGGATGCAGTTCCATTACACAATCATGTATGATAATACAGTAAACACGTGTATTGGTGGGGAATCCTTTTGCTGATTCAATGTCTAATTTCACATCTACGGTTGTCGATTTTATTGATTCACTACGTTTAGAGCAGTCAATAACAAAAATAGCACGATTGTTAAATGATGGATAGTCAAGTAGTGCAGGCTTGAATGAGGTATTTTTATAACTCGGATAAAAATCTATATAATTCATGTGAGCGTCCACATAATCGTTTCTACCAAAGTCAAATCTCAAACGCTCATGGGGATAGTATTCCCCATTGATGAGCAGTCGAACGTCTGTTACATCAATATGATCAAATAAAGTTGGATCCTGATTAACTTTATCGAATTTATCTGTTTGAAAAGCCGCTATTACATATCGTGGACACTCTATAGCAGCACACGTTTGTATCTGCCATATTTCAGGTTTAGCGTTAACTGTTAGAGCTGGAAGTTCATGTAAAGACCACTTTCTGTATGGTACATATACCGGTTTATCGTTTTTAATATTTTCTAGTAGATTCGCTTGAATCACATCATTAGGGTAAATATGTTTTACTAGCAGTTTGAGCTCCTCAATTTCAAGTTAGTCTTGTGTAGTACCGGCGGCGGCGTCAGCAGCTTCAGTAACAATCATACAGTTATTATCATTACGTGCTCTCACTAGACGTATAGTATGTTTCCCATATGCAGCAAATTTATAGTCATTGAAATAATTCAGTAAGTGTTTAAGTGGAACTCTTAGGCTAAAGTATCCAGTGGTAGCATCACGAATAGGTACAGAAGGATAGTTCCATCCTGTTGCGGGTAAATGTCTTGGATCGTTAATACTGTAACATAAGTATCCTCAGTAGATGGTCTATGGGGATTCGGTCTCAAAACTTCCAAAATCCGCCACCAGAGGCGCTGGCGTCGCGCGCCATTGACAGGTTGTTGGACGGAATCTGTATTCATGAGTTGGGGATTCCGCCGCTAGATGGCGCTGTCAAACCAAACGGAATCTGTGTGTCATTGGACACCTGTCATGCGTCATTGGGCATCTCACGCATAGATGGCGTTACACGTCATCTGTCATACGTCATTGGACACCTGTCATTGATGGGTTGAGCATCTCGCGCATAAATGGCGTAGATTTGTTTGGCGGTGTACAAACCTAACGGAATCTATGCGTCATTGGACAGCTGCCATTGATGGGTTGGGCATCTCGCGCATAGATGGCGCCGATGTCGCACCTGTCTGGTGTTGGCGTGGATTACGGGGGGCAACGTGTATACAGGGGTGCATCGAAAAATAGCGGATCGATGGACCGACGGTATATCGTTAAATCGTATATAGCAAGGCGTGACCTAAATAGCGTGGTGGGCTCCTCTGGTCGGTCGGTCGGTCGGTCAGAATGTCTCATAACCTGTATACGATGTACTGTTATTATTATACAGGATGATACCGTTCAAAATGAAAATAGTATAGACATTCTGACAATTATTTCGCAAACCAGAGGTATTTTCAATAAAACTACAATAATACGTTTAATATTTTATTGAAAATAGAAAAAAACTACATAGGTAATATGATATTTGAAAACCAGTGGCGTAGACGTTCAACATTTCTCTGGGTACAGGAAAATTGTCCGTTGGTGTGGCATGGATTGGAATCAGCAACAAAGTTTCCAGTAGCACACGGTGTACCATCATACTTGCAAACATCAATAATGTTGGGAAAAACACCAAAAATGTGACATTTCTTGAGTAAAAAGTTTGCTTTCTGTTCTCCACGAACGTAGACATAGTCAGCCGCATATATCACCTTATTTTTAATTATTTCATTTAACTTGGAATATTTAACGTCGCCGGAAGAATATTTAAGCCCATGGAAATTCTTCTCCAAGTAAGCGACAGTTTTCTTGTCTTTAGTATTTAATGTAGAAAAAGGTTGCGGAGGTGTAAAGATGTAATGACTTTTCTTGAAACCAATTTCGATACATAGTTCTTTAGGTACGAATAATCCGTCAACTGTAAAGCCTTGAATGTCAACAAACGCGATCCTCATGATGTCTGATGCGGAACTGAGAGTCCTTCGTTGCTTACGAGATGGTTTTAATAACTTCGGTGAGGGGGAAGTACTCGATTAAGCAGTCATGTATAATGATGCAGTAGGCCTTGGTGTTGGTTGGAAAGCCAGTATCGGCTTCGATATCCAATCTAACATCAACAGTTGATGATTTCATGGTTTCCTCTTGTTTGGAACAGTCAATAACAAACAAAGCGCGATTTTTAAAAGCGGTATAATCTAAAAGACATCTCTTCAGAGGAGAAGAAGAAGTTGTATAGCTGGTTTGAAAGTCGCTATAGTTGAAATGAGCTTCAGTAAAGTGATTGTTTGCAAAGTCCAATTGCATACGTTCGTTGGGATAGTATTCACCATTTAAAGATACTCGAATACTAGCAGCATTCACGTGATCAAACAGGGTAGGGTCTGAGGTTGCGACGTCACGTTTACCGGTTTGGAAACATACTATAATGAAACGTGGTCTTTCGATTGCGGTGCTAGTTTTAACTGACCATATTTCTCTTCTCGCATCTGCGGTAATTGCAGGCAGTTCATTCAGATCCCATTTTCTAAACGGTATAAGTATCGGCTTATCAGTTTGAATAGCTTTCAAAAGTTGTTCTTTCACATCATCACTCGGGTAAATATGTTTGATTTTCAGTTCCATGCTTTCAATAGTTATTTTCGCTGTCGTCGTCGTTCCAGTTTTTTCCTTGATAATGATACAATCGTTATCGTTTCTAGCTCTCACAAATCTGAGAGTTTGTCTGCCACACGTAATCATAGGATAATCATTGAAAATGTTGAAAATATGTTTAAGCGGCATTAGCAAGCTAAAAGACTTGTTATGTGTTGACGCCATTATAGGTGTTGAAGGATAGTTCCATCCAGCTATAGCCATATGATTTGAGTCTTCCTCACTGTAACATACGTAAGCTCGGACAGTACTTACAATACCAGGATCACGTACTGTTTCAACTTCTCTAGCGGATTCACTGTAAGTGCAAGAGTCAAATAGGAAGGCACCAAAGTTTGGAGCTAAAGATACATCTCCTGCTCCTCCTCCTCCAGTTATTTCAACTTTTCCTTTGATAGATAGAAGGGAAGCGTTCATTGCAAAGAACGAATCTACTTGATTGATGCTAAATTCCACAACATCATTACAATTAAATGACTTGATGAACGGCGTATAAGATCTATACTCAGCCTTGCGAATAGATTCATCGAATGCTGGAGATCGATATAGATCAAACATCGGAGAAGTATGTGATGCTGCTGCTGCTGCCTCCTCAGTTTTTCTCTTTTTGTACATGATTCTTGTTGTTGTTGACATGATATCCAAGTGAGCGTAGAAACAGGATATTTGATGTAGTTAGTAGTAGATGTCGTCGCTTAGGTGCTTGGGGTAATACTGAAGTTGCCTTGGAAGCACCACTATGTCTTATAATCACTAATCCCATCTGCGCTTCGCTCTCAACTCCAACACAAGAGTACTAGTTTCACCTTGAAAGTTTACAGGACGACCGTCTTGATCTAAAGCCAACACTGTGATGTTGGTTATTTCTTGTTTCGGTATAACAGGTAGATATAGTAAATTTACAGGTGTTTCGACTATAGCGTATCCAGGATCGGCTGTCACAGCAAATTCGTAGATCGTGTGTGCAGGCGTGTCTCCGTCAAAGGCTCCCGACGTAATGTTAGCATCAAAGTGTATGGTTGATACTTTTATTATGTTTACAGGTAAATCAGAAGAATGCTTTTGACCAGGATTAAGAACTTTTTTCGAGAATCCCAATAGATGTCCAAGATTATTCGGTTCTGTAAAAACTATTTTATAATACTTGCTAAAGATTTCACATTGCAGTGTATTATTGTTAGGTTTTAGAGAAAAATAATCATCCGGAGGAGCAACTTCATTTTCAAGATTCATTTGCGTTCGTATAAATGTTTCTATGTCGGTAATTTCATAACAACCTGTCGGAAACTCGATGACTTTTAATTGACCACCACCACCTATCCGGTCGATATAATAAAATTTATCTCCTTTTTCAATATTCGGTATGGAATTGTATGAAGTAAAAGACCTAAGCGCCAATTCATAATCTTTTTTCGGATCCAACACTATCGGTGTTGAAGGACGAATGAAAATATATGAGTAGTGCTATTGACTCTCAACAACTGCGACATGATGAATGAAAAATATAGCTGTGTACTAAGCATTTATTCAAGTTTTTTTTTTTGTTTATTTTCGAATGGATAATTTACAGAAATAACAATTTGCTTGAGCAGTAGCCGGTCCATCCCAATGTGTTGTCCAATCAGGTCTGTTGTAGTGAACATAGCATGGAAGTCGTATTTGAAGATCAAAATTGGATGTGTATTCTGCAGGCAGTTTGTGCCATATACTCAATAATTCTGCAGGTCTCACATTGCTTATTAAATATTCCAGCGGCGGAATATTCTTCTCAAACTCTTCTAATGTAAATTCCGATAATGTTTTATTATCCATCGTTGTTGTTGTTGTTATTGTTTAGAAATTTCAAACACAATTGTCCGCAATTAACTTGATTATAAGTTTGGTAAGGATCGTTGTTGTAGAAAATTTTAGCGTTTTTCAGATATCGAACAAGTTCCTGTGGAGGCTTCAGGTTACCAAATGAATCGAAATACTCAACGTTGTTGTTTATCTTTTTATAAGCTACCCAATGAGTTCCGTTGTTTTGTGAAATATCTAAGTTCACGACGGCGCATTCTCTTTTACGTGGACCGTCTCGTGGTAAAGTGTCACGCATGAAGACACCTCGGAAATGAGGTATGTTCAAGAGCTTCGCATATTGCTTTATTTCATAATCATAAAGCGCTTTCTTGGGTAGCTTGATGTTTAGTTTTTTTGACTTTTTTTTTTGAGGTACAACCCATAACCACCTTTAGCATTTTTTCTCAAATACAATCCTTTGCCCAAAGACTCCATAGCTTTGTTATGGCGATGGTCTTCCTCCAATTTCTTTTGTGCATTCTTGGCATCAACGACCGTTTTGGCCACACCTGCAGCTCCCCCTACGAGCGCCCCCAAGGCACTTAATCCGGCGAAAAGGGGGATCAAGGGTAGGAATCCCCAGATTTTCCTTCGATCGGAATTATTCTCGGTAGTCGAACTTTATGTTTTCCACCTGCACTCTTCACCGCTAATCTTGCCGCTTTAAGAGCAACCAATGCAGACTTTTTTAATGTCGTGGTGGTGGGAGCATTTTTCTTCAAGGACTTTGTGATTTTCGTGAGAACACCTCGTCGAAAAGATGATTTCTTCTGCCCCATACCCAATTTTCGCTTAACTTTCATTGCGGTAGTTGTTAGCCAAGCTGCAGTCTTTTCTCCTAGTGAAGCGTCAGGTGCTTTTACACGTTCCCAGGCTCGGTTCTCAAGAATCCAATCAGCTTTGTGCCTGTCTTTCAAATTTTTGTATAAGGCGTATGCAATATCGTGGTCTCTTGCAGCACGATCCAATGGGTTCTTTCCAGGATCTCCTCGTGCTAACCTCTTCTTTAATTTAGTCCCCGCTGAAAATATACATATACATGTGTGAGAATGAAAAAAAAAAATATCCTAATCTGTCGCACACTTACGTCCCAGGAACTGATACGAAGGTACGTGGAGTTCTATCGGAAGATTATTTATCAGAGAGTTTACAACACCTTCACCCTTGTACGTTAACATGAGAACTGTTGATGATGCGTTAGCAATATCTACATATATACTTTTACACATTCCTTATTCGAACGCCACACGATGAAGGTTGTTCAACAAGAGCAGTCATTACCCATTGATAACTTGGATTTTACAGCAAAAACTCAACATAGTAAACATGGTAAATTGTTACCGAATTCGTTTCGCGCTATCATCTGCGGACCAAGCGGATGTGGAAAAACGAACGTAATGCTGGCGCTGCTTTTCCATCCAAACGGTGCTAAGTTTAAAAATGTTTACGTTTATTCAAAATCGTTGTATCAACCAAAGTATCAACTGCTTCAAGAAGTGATTTCCGCTGCTAAGGGTGTTGGCTATTTCCCATTTAAGGATAACGAGGAAATTATAAGTCCAAGTAAGGCTAAAAATAGCTCTATATTTATATTTGACGACGTGTCGTGTGACGGTCAGCAGAAAATTCGAGAGTATTACTCCATGTGTCGTCATAAAGATATCGATGCTGCATATCTCTGCCAAACATACTCTAAAATTCCAAAACAGCTCATACGAGACAACTGTAACATTATAGTACTATTTAAGCAGGATGAAATTAATCTAAAACATATATTTGATGAGCATGTATCTCCAGATGTTACTTTTGATGAATTCAAAAAGATGTGTTCGGAATGTTGGGCAGAAAAGTACGGTACGTTAGTTATTGTTAAAGACTTTCCTCTTAATTATGGTCGATACAGAGTAGGATTTGATAAGTACATAAAATTGTAGGCTTATCATGTACGCCATCATTCAGTAACATGATGTCAAAGGACCAAGTTGCCGTTGCTAGTCATAAAAGAAAGATCGCAGAACTTGCTCGAGCTATACGTAAAAAGTATCTTACTTTAAAGTTAGGTCGAACTGCAGAAGATGAATCTATTAGAAAACTTTTCAAACCAATATCTGAACCTCTTAAGCAAATAGCTAAGACTCAGCAGCATCCTTCATTTATTATTAAAAAGAGGAAAAATTGAAACAGGATGATGATGATGATGATGATGATGTATTCACACAGAACCCAAACTATCTCAATTTAGAAGACGTGGCTTCAACTGATGAACAAGGTAATATACCGCCGAGACCTGAAACACCACCACTACCTGAAGAAATGCGTCCTGCTGATTTTTCACAAGAAGCAATAGAAGAATACTTAGATCAATATCCCCCAATAAGCCATAATTATTTACAAGATTTTTGGACACAAAACGATAAAATTGATAAAAATTATGGACCTATATATACCGACAACATTGGTTGGATGTTAGGTAAACGCCGAATTAAATTTGATAGAGCGACTGGCCAAATACAGATATTACCTGAGGGGACAAACTTAGCAGGTACATGGTTTCGTGGCACACCTGGGCTGTATCAACTTTTATTCTATAATGACCCAAACTATGCAGATGCAGATTTACACCCTATAAAAATCTATTGCAAAGTACCGGTGTTCATTTAGATTCGCTTGGACGCCTAAAAGGTTCGACAGGATTTAAATATAATCACATTATTAAGCCTCTCTTTAAAGATGTGCAGAAAAATAAAGGTACAATTGTCACACGATCAACATCTACAAAAATACGTAGTCCACTTAGTCGATCATTAACAAGATCCACTCCCTCAACAACAACAACAACAACAACATCATCAACATCAAAACCGCCAACAGGAAAAGGTATCGGTGATTACTTGACATACAACGAGGAACCAATCGAATACGTGTACTGGGATGATCCCAATGAATTAATCGATCGACTTAAACTCCTTATGGCATCTCAGGAAGCTGGCAATACGTCGCATGATAATGAAATAGTAGCCATCCTCAACGAGCTAAAAGAAGCTAATATAATACAGTAATCTAGTTCCTTGGTCTTTCATTTACACGATGAGTCTTGATAAATTCGGACGTCGCTTTGATAAACAAAAGACACTTCCGTATATGCGTACACCGCCAAAGTTAACACTACCCCATACTTCTGATGGAAATGTTGACTTCAAGAACGTAAAGTTGTGTAATATAAAAGATCCCACAGATAATTCAGATGCGGCAACTAAAAAATACGTAGATACTTCAGTGATTGATTTAAAAAAATAACAGCAAAAACAGATCAAATAACAGAGTTTATTTCGAGAAATCCGCCTACTTCTGGTAAACATATGGCAACAAAAAAATATGTAGATGACTCTATTGCAAATATAACAACAAGAATAGAACAGGAGTTGGCTACAATTAAGTCTCATACCGATTTGACTCCAATAAGGAAAAATATCATTGAATGAATTACAACTTTTGCAAGGACGCACATCATATATATCATTGAAAACATTCGATCTTGCTAAGCGTATAAAGCCGATGGAACAACAATTTAAAGCGTTAAAACATGATGACGTACGCCAAGGAGAAGCTACAACTAGTTAACGAGCTGCAACAAGCCTGCTCGAAAAAATTATCTAAGACGACGTACCATCATTAAAGGCTTAGACGATTTATGGCAGACGGACTTGGCTGAAATGCGACCTTATGCTCATCAAAATAAAAATTTCAAATTAATTCTCGTCGTAATCGATTCTTTTTCCAAGTTTATGTGGACTAAGACCGTTAAAGACAAAGACGGGTGAGGAGATAACTCGTTGCGTTTCGGATATCCTCGCACATACGGAACGTACGCCGAAAAATCTCAAATCTGATCAAGGTAAAGAATTTTACAATAGTAAAATTTCAAACTTTAATGAAGAAGCATGATATTAATCATTATAGGACATATAGCATCAAGAAAGCGGCCATTGCTGAAAGACCATAAAGGACTTTTAAAAATAAACTTTACAAATACTTTAGCTTAATGGGATCGATAAATGGATTGATATATTACAAAGCATTACCAATGAATACAATGGAACAGTCATCAAACCATCGGATGTAAAACCATCACAAATTATAAATCAACGAAAAATGTATCTTAAAATCGAAAATATACTCATTAAAAAATCGCGGGCCCGCGTAAGTTTAAAGTTGTTGACATTGTACGCATCAGCAAAACCAAAATGCTATTCGACAAGGGTACGTTCCAAGCTGGACAACGGAATTATTTAAAGTTACTAAAATTAATATTACCAACCCTGCAACGTACATGCTCGAAGATATGCAAGGGTGCACCGATCA